GGGGAGGGCTGAGCTGGGATCCACAGGGTTTGTCCCTGGGAGGGGAGGGCTGAGTTCAGGAGGGTTTGTCCATGGGGAGGGCTGAGTTCAGGAGGGTTTGTCCATGGGGAGAGCTGAGTTCAGGAGGGTTTGTCCCTGGGAGGGGAGGGCTGAGTTCAGGAGGGTTTGTCCATGGGAACGCCTCAGCTGGGATCCACAGGGTTGGTCCCAGGAGGGGACTGAGCTGGGATATGGAGAATTGGTCCCTGGAAGGCCTCAGCTGGGATCTGGAGGGTTTGTCCCTTGGGATGGTTGAGCCAGAATCTATAGGGTTTGTCCCTGGCTGGGGGAGGGTGAGCCGGGATCTGGAGGATTGGTCCCCGGCAGGGCTGAGCTGGAATCTGGAGTTTGTCCCTTGGGAGGGCTGAGCCAGAATCCGCAGGGTTTGTTCCTGGGGAAGGGGAGGGATGAGCCAGAATCTGCAGGGTTTGTCCCTGGGGAAGGGCAGGGATGAGCCAGGACCTGCAGGGTTTATCCCTGAGAGGGGAGGGTGAGCTGGGATCTGCAGGGTTTGTCCCTAGGAGGGCTGAGCTGGGATCCATACGGTTTATCTTTTGGGGAGGGCTGAGCTGAGTTCAGGAGGGTTTGGCCCTGGGAGGGGAAGGGTTGAGCTGGGATCCACAGGGTTTATCCTTGGGGAGGGGAAGGGCTGAGCCAGGATCTGCAGGCTTTGTCCCTGGGAGGGGAAGGGCTGAGCCAGGATCTGCAGGGTTGCTCCCTGGGAGGGCTGAGCTGAGTTCAGGAGGGTTTATCCCTGGAGAGGGCTGAGCCAGGATCCACAGGGTTTGTCCCTGGGAAAGGGGAGGGTGAGCTGGCAGAGCCCCCATCACCTGGTGCTCCTTCTCAAAGGAGCGGTGAGAAGCATCAGCGATGGATTTGGGCTCATGGAAACCTGGAATGTTTGGGTTGCACTCGTTCCAGCCCCTGGCCATAACCAGGGACACTTTCTGATGTCCCTGGGGACACTTTCTGATGTCCCTGGGGACACTTTCTGCTGTCCCAGACTGTTCCAACCCAGCCTTGGGCACTTCAGGAATGCCACAGCTTCTCTGGACACCCTATGCCAGGTTCTCACCCTCTCCCAGGGAGGAATTCCTTCCCAGTATCCCCTCCCAAGTCCATTTCTCCATGTGTAGAAGAGGAATGGTAATATTTTCTCTGCAARGAGAATATGGATGTGAATTTCCATTGGAAAATCACAGAATCTTTGGGACCCTAAAGCCCATCCAGTGCCAATGGGYWGGGACATCTTCCACCATCCCAGGGTGCTCCAAGCCCTGGAATGGACACTTGCACCATTCCAGGGATGGGGATATTTTGTCCCCCACAATTAATTCCCAATYAACGGGAAGGCAGAACCCTCATTCCAGGTGACCCCACAGATTCCCCCATCCCTTTTGGGGTGTCCCTGACTCCTCCCCCGCCCTCCCCTGCCTTTCTCATTGCAGACCCATCTGCCCAACATCAAAGTCCACGCCTACTTCGCCCCGGTGACCCCTCCTCCGTCGGTGGGCGGCAGCCGGCAGCGCTTCTGCAGATGCTGCATCATCCTATGACACTGGAGCCTCCTCCCGGCAAACTGAGGCTGGAACCGCCCCGCCCCATCCCGGGGGACGCCAGAACCTTGGAGGAAAGCGATCCCAGTGTCATTTGAGGGCCAGTGAGCAGGGCTGGGCTGCCCTGTAGCCACCCACACCACCCCCCCTGTGATCCCAGTGGGATGAGGGACTCGGGATGGGAGCTGGAGCCGAGCGCCGGCTTTTCTGCGGGGTGGATCGGCCTAAATCCCAAACTGGGCTCTCCTGACCAGGGAAAAACCCTGCGGGAAGGAGGGGAGGGCTCACAACCCCGAGGGACTGATGCTGCTGGTGAGGTTGGAAAAGGAGCCTTGGAAATGGGGATCCTTGGAAATGGGGACAGGAGAGGAGAGGAGTAGAGTGCGCTTTGACCTTGCAGCCGCGGTCCGCAAGGAAAAATCCCAACAATCCTGAAAACCCAACGAGGTTTATGGCCGTTCTTCAGTGAGGGAATGAAGCAGCAGCTGTTGAACCGTGATTTCCCTGGGATCCAGGATTTCTATGAGATTCAGGATTTCCCTGGGATCCAGGATGACCCTGAGATCCAAGATTTCCTGGGATCCAGGATTCACCAGGGCCAGGATTTCTCTGGGATCCAGGATGTCCCTGGGATTCAGGATTCCCCAGGGCCAGGATTCCCTTGTGTTTCCCTGCTCCCACCCTGAGCACGCTCCAAGAGCTTGAGAGGCTCAGAGGCTTCCCAGATTCTTCTCAAAATTTTCCCAAATTCTTCCCATATTCTTCCCAGATTCTTGTGATAGAGCTGGGAATCTCTAATACCACATTTGTTTACTCTCCCCACATGCTGCTTTTCCTTTTTTTCTTCTTTTTTTCCCTTTTTTCCCCCCAAATTTCTAACTCAGTCACTTCATGAGATTTCCCAACCCAGAGCGACGAATCCGTAATTTCAGTTTCTAAAAATGAGTTTTTCCCCATGAAAATTTTTCCTCCTGAGCCTCTGATGAGCTGTCTGGTGGATTTTTAGGGAGCGTGGGGTTCTCCTGGGCTTTCCCAGCCTGTGAGATCAGGGATGGGGTGTCCAAATTTATCCCAATTTCCGGTTTTATCCCAATGACGAGGATATAATTCTCCACACAGGGAATCATATAAATACAGATATATAATTCTCAGTGCAGAAAAAAAAAAATTCCAGCGGCTGTAAATTCCCTCCTCCTGTCCTTTCCCTCCATCCCGAGGAAAAGCAAAGTAGAGGTTTTTGCTTGTTGCCCCGAGGAAGAATTCAGGAGCAGGTCCGGGATCCGCCCTGGCTCCTGGGATCCTTCCCACCCTCCCCACCTTCCCCAGGTAAGTGTGGCRCCCTGGAAGGATCCCCGTGGTGACTTTGGGGTTTGGATGTGCCAGACCCATCTCTGGAGGGAGGGGAGGGCTCTCTGGCTGCTTTTTKGGGGGCGTTTCATGCGGAACGGGGGAGCCCGGGCTGACCGAATTCCCGTGGAACTGCTGGGCAGATCCCAAGGGTTGAACGGGGCAGGGCTTGGGCAGCTCCGTGTCCAATCCTCGCCCTCGGTGCTCCCGGTGTGGGGGAAGAGCAGGAATGGCTGGTCAGGGGTTTGCCAGGGCCTGGGGGGGTGTTTTCCCACCAGGAATTCCAAGGACAATGCGCTGCTCATCCCCCGGAGCTGCACCCCTTCCTCTCCCCGGCCCCCCCAGTCTGTGCTCCCGCCCCGCCGGGAGCGACTCCAGGCTGCTGTGGTTAAAAGGATACTGTCAATGCCTTCCCGTAGGTGGCTTTTAATCCCTCATATTTATTCAAATCCTCTTTAGCGCTGTGGATTCTCCCCCTCTCCTCGGGCGGCTTCATTTCCAGAACTTTCTCCAGGTTTCGGGGTGGTGGAAGATGCTGGTGACGGACTGGACGGGCGAGGGGTCACCYGGCAATCACAGGATTTGCACAACTCTGGGAAAAACAAACAAAAAAACAAAAAAAAAAAAAAAAAAAAACCAGAAAACACTTTTGTTTAGTTCATACTGTGGCAGGGGAGAGCGAAAAGCGGGATTTTGGAGCCAGGGCTGACTGATCCCTTTGTACCAGAGTTGAGTTTTCCAGGGAAAACTCCGGAACACAGAACCCAAAGCGTTTTATTTTCTGTTTGCAGACCAGGGTGACAGCATTAAGGTAGCTCAAACTTCTTGACAGTGTCCTTTTAAGTCAATTATCCGTCTTCAAATGGACTCTTCCTGATGTTTATATTTATAAATACCAATAAACACCATTTTCCAAGCCCTGTCTCCCTGGGGGGATCGCTCTGTAGGGGAAAATCCACCTCTGGTGTTGGGGCAGCTCCTGTGGGGKTTTTTTGGGGTGTTCTAAGGGTTTTGAATGATTTGGGGTAGAAGGAGTTCAGAGCTCATCCGTGGGTAGGGACAACTTCCATAGCTTGGGATGGTCCAGCCCGTCCTTCCCTGTGATTCCCTTTGTATTTCTGATTTTTTTCTCTGTTGTGGGTTAATTTGGGGTTTTTTTGGCAGRATGGGAGGTGGATTTGGATCAGTATGATGAGGTTCTTGGCTACGGTGTCCCAGAAAATGAGGTTTCAAACATTTTGACCTCTTCCCATGAACGGTTGTATGGTTGAGGGGCCTGGGGCTGGTTTTGGGGGGATTTATTCTCTTTTATTTTGTTTTCTGATATCCAGGTGAAGGTTTCTGCACTCCCTCGGTGCCAAAGCCTGGCAGAGGCTCCTGTTCTGCAGCTTGGGGGGTGTTTGGGGCCAAAACGATGGAGAAATTCAGGGAGAAGCCACTTTTCCTTTGGAATTTCCAGCTCAGTCCGTGACTTCCCATCCCCCCCCGAGCGCCCATCCCGGGAGTGACATCGTCGTGTCCCATCCCTGCCACTGCCCCGGGGCTGAGTGACCTCACATGAAGTTTGGAGGTGGATTTTTTTATTAAGGGATGAGCGATTCCATCCCCTGTTCCAGAAGGACACCCAGGCTGGGAGGGGACACCTGGCAGTGCCACCCTGTGCCAGCAGTGCCACACCCGCGGCTCTTCGTGCTTCACCCTCTGTCCCCAAAGGTGCAGCTGAGCCCCGATTCCCATCTCCAGCTCTGTCCCCATCCCGCTGTGGGACCTGGGGTTGGGCTCGGGGGTCCTTAGGGGTTTTTAACCCATTTGAGCTCGGCGCTCTCCCTCTGCTCGGTCCGAGCGATGGACACGGGAGCTGGACCTGGCCGTGCTCTCCCCGGGTTTGGGACCGGACAGGGCTGGGAAATGGGGTGGGA